CCCCTGCCTGGCCCCCAGCCCGGAGTCCGAGCCCGAGCCCGCGGCCGCCTGACAGACGGAGCGCCCCCGGGCACTCAGGGCACCCCCGCCGCCACCATATGCGCCCCTCCCGGCTGACCTGCGCTGCTGCCGCCGCGCGACCGCACACCCTGCCGCCTCTCCCGCTCACGCTGCCGCCACCGCCTCTTGTGCTGTACCCGCGGCTGGCCTCGAGCGCCCCATTCCCACCCAGCCCAGCGTCCGCCTGTTTACTGTGATTGGGACGGAACGCGACGGTCCGGCCCCGGCGCGCAAGCGCACCCGCTCCTCCCGCTGCCACCGGCTTCCCGGGTCGCTTAGCTGTGACGACTCAGCCCGTCAAGGATGAGCGCCCGGGCCCTCGCGCGGGACATGCTGGGAGTTATAGTCTACAGATCCCTCAACGCCGAGCCCCCCTGAGACGGCTCGTCCCGGAAGCACACTACAACACCCAGAAGACACCGCGCCTCCTCTCTCCCCTCCCCACTGGGCTCCCTAAGGGGACTAGAGCGCGCGCACCGAGCGCTGGAGTTCTTCAGGCGCCTGCGCAGTAGGATGCTTAGGGGCTGGGAGATGTGGCACGTACTCGAGCAATTCAGGCGCGGACGTGGGCCTGAAGAGGGTAGACGCGTTCGTCCTCGCGCTCCGGCGGCCTGTCTCTTTGCTACCGAAGTGTGCGCTGTCCCGCGCTGACTGCAGCAGTCCTAACCGGTCCAATCTGCCTGCGGGTGGGGCCTGCCTGGCCTCCCCGGGTGGAGTCATTCGTTTGGGGTGGGGACACTGGCCCTGGGTTTCAGAGGAAGGGGAGCGCCTGGCCTGTGCGGAGAGCGTCGGAACAAACTGTCAGAACGTCCTGGGGAGTCGTGGAATGGGAGCTGCATGTCGCCAGCGGAACTGAGTTCCCTCCAGAACCCTTCACAAGGGCTCGAAAAATCGTCCCCTCGTGCACGCTGAAAGCTGAAATCCGGCAGGCCTTGGAGCCTCCTTGCTTTATAAACTTAGGCAGTTATTCGAGGAAAGACGGGATCTCCACCGCTCAGGCCGCCACAGTCACTGCTTTCCTATGAGCCCCTCCATTCAAAACGTCTTACCCCCACGCATGGTGACACATGCCTGTAATCCCAGCACGCAGGAGGCTGATGCAGGAGATGGCTGCGAGTTTGAGGGCAGCCTAGACTACCCTGTTTCCAAGAAGAAACCAAAAACTTCTTTCCTGAACTGATCAGTGCGGTCCATTTTGCACTGTGCTCCAGTATTGGCCTTCCTCACATCTGGCCCTGAGTCTGTTGCGTGTGTTCTGCTTCTTCTTTATTGTAGAGAACCCCTTCAGCAGCTCGAAGTTGGACACAGGGGTCGGGAACAGCCTTCCTATGGCCCCTCCAGCAACACAACAGTCTCCCAGGACCACCAGGATGGCCGCTGACCGTACACACACTCTGCTTCTGCCAACACTGATTCCATCAAGGGACAAGCAGGGACGTAGCTAGACATTCTTGCTTGAAATTGCTGTATGGATACAAAGAAGTGGGAGAGACTTAGTCACTGCTGGTGGTCATATTTCCTGTAGTATGACGTGGCCTTTCTGCAGTAGGAATGGCTGAGGCCGAAAGGAGAAGAGAAAGGACAGAGAAAAAGCAAGTTGTAGAATGTGTCTTTATTTCATCCCATGTTTTGAGTGGCTGTTCCTTAATGTTCTAAGCATGTGAGCACAGATGCACCAACCAACATATAAGCGATACCTACATTTATTATGTAGAAGAGGTGCAAATATAGAGGATATTTGTTGGCTCCCTCCTTAGCATTCTTTCTTCCCACTTGAGCCATGCAGCATAACCATTACCTCAGGTCACCGAGTACCAGAGGTGGTCATTACGTAACCTTACTAGACCCAATGTGCCCACAAACACTTGAATTGGGGCTCCTAGTAAAATGCAGCCTCCTTGCTCTTGTGTACAAGTACATGAGGTTTGCAAATATGACCATTTTTCTCCTATAAGGGGAAAGCCTAGAGGAATGAAAATTCAGAGGACAGCCAGTGGAGCCAGAGGATGAAGTCAATACTGTCAAATGCCGCAAAGATAGCTCATAACCTGTGCTTGGTGGAATCATTAGAACTGCAATAGCAAAACTTGCCTTTTTAATACTGCAAAATATCCTATCTACAGACTGTTTAGAACAGGAAGCGAGGACTATCTTTAAACTTGTGAGCCGTAAGTGTCCTGTGTCTTTTAAGCTGGTTGCTATTAAAATTCTAAGAACTTACTAATTTAGTTGGATTTATTTTACACAACACTGAAACGTCTTGACTACTATCCACTCACTACCTCATGGTCAGTAATTCTCTGCACACAAAACAAACATAAAGTTGGATAAAAATGGCAAAAGCAACCATTTCGGAGCAGTGGAAATCAAATACAAATAACAACCTAAGAAATATCTACTCTTCAAAAACAGAAGTTCAGTAGAAATAGTCCATGTCTGTGGTCTTTGAAGCTGCTTCTTTCTCTCTCTCTGGACAGGGAGATTTTAGAAATTAGAGGGCCACTGAAGGATAAAATAAGCTTGTACAGTCTCTGATTAGCTGAGAAATGAGGCACTTGAGTGGGATTGACCCAAGAGACCCACTGTTACGGTTTGTGTCTGGGTGTCCCCCCCAAAGCCTCATGCGGTCATGGGGCAGGCTTTTAGAGTTTGATTGATTATGGGTGTGAGAGCTGCACCCGCCCTGGGGTGGATAGTTTGCGTATGTAAGGGAGAGCAAGAGCCTGCTTGGGGCCATTTCCTGGCTTTTGTGCTTCTGGCCATTTCCTCCCTTGTATGTACTTGTTGCTTTTGCTGTGTTCGGATGCCATGAGTTGTAGCTCTCTGCCATGTGCCAGTCTGCCTTGTAATCTGCCAAGTATGGACTGAAACCTCCACGAACTGTAAGCGAAATAAACCTTTCCTTCCTTAATTTTGGGCGTCAGGTATTTTGTCCCAGCAAGGAGAGAAAAGTAACCAAGACACCCACTTTAAAAGTGAAAGTCATAGGAGGCTTGAGAACTGGTGGTAGGTTGGAACGCTTTCTTCAACCAACAGTGTTTGAGTACAGCCCTTTCCCTAATCACTTGCTGAGCACTGGCCTGTGCAGTCATGCACCAGAAAGTCAGGTTAAAGATCCAAATGATAAAAAGAAGCATCAGAGGTATCAGCACCACACATCATGGGAAAGGCAAGATTTTAAATCTGCTTAAATCTGGGCATATAACTAAAGATAAAATACCAACCACACCATGAAAAATTAAAATGCATGTAGAGTTGTAATACATAAAACCCTCCCATTTCAACCAAAAATAGTAGTTCTTACAGAGAAACAGGAAAATGTCATCCACACTCAGGGAGGAAAGAAAGCAATCAACAGAAAATATCTTTAGGTAGGCCCTAATGTAGGGCCTTAACAGTACACTTTAAAATAGGTCTTCTGTTTAAAAATTAAAAGGCATTTTCAAAGTATTAAATGGAAAGTTAAAGAGAATTATTTAACAAATAGAAGATCTCAATAGATAAGTGGACTACAGATATTCCTCTTTTAATAACTCACCTATGTAATGAATGTTCAGACTTAAAACCGGCTTATAGGACTTACGACCCATCTTTTTTCTTTTTTTGGTACAGTTCTGTACGTCTGGTTTATAAAGTTTCAACATTTTTTGTACTGTACACTTTTATGTGGTACTATAATTTTTGCTGATTATACTGCACAGTACTGTAATTTTATGTTATAAATTATAGTAAGTCTTATAAGAGTTATGCAAATAAAAGCAGTTGTCAAGTTGGAGTTTCTTTTGACCATTTCTTTGTTCTGAATATTGTAATAATGTATATACTATATGCAGTTCCTCATTTAGAAAACAATTCACTGAATAACCTAGTCACAGGAACAAAACTTAGTTGTCTATATAAAAAAGAAATGTGAAATTTATAGAGTGTTTTTTTTTTCTGTCTTTTTGAGACAGGGTCTCGCTATGCAGTTCAGGTGGCCTTGAGCTCACTTTGTAGCCCAGGCTGGCCTTGAACTCCCAACGATCCTCCTGCCTCAGCCTCCTGAGTGCTGGGATTACAAGAGTGCACCACCATGCCCAGCAAAATTTATAGAGTTGAAACAGTACAGTAATGGAAATTTTATTAGATGACCTCAGTGGAAGATATGTGATGACATAAAAAAGAATCATATATAGGAAGATAAATTGAGACATTATTCTAACCAAAAAAACAAAAAAAAATTGAAGAAAAAATAAGGACACATTCATACTGCCTCTGCAATTTGAGATAAAGAGAGTATGTGTTTAGCAGTGAGCAAAACTTAAGGACATGCATTTGCAGCTGTAAGGCAGAGAAAAAAAGGTAATGCCTAGGTATTGGTGAGAGAAAGTATGGCAGCACTTTTTATACTGAAGGTGATATATAAATATCAGGTGTTCTTATAATTCTTATAATATTAAGTATTATTTTACCAGAGGATGATACAGATTATCTCTTAATAAGGAGTCATAAACCCGAACAAGTAATATACCTAATAAAGTTCTGAGCAGGGTATGGTGGCACATGCCTGCAATCCCAATAGTTTGGGAGGCCAAGGCCACGGGATTGCAAGTTCATGCCCAGCTTGGGGAATGTAGTGACTTAACAAGAATCTGTCTTTAAATTAAAAAAAAGCTCTGGGTTCACTTCTCACCACTGGGGGAAAAAATACCAGGAAGCTCCAGTTGACATTAAAAAAAGAGAAAAAAGAAGAGCCTTAGAGACCTGTGAAATTATATAAAACCCCAAGATACATGGAACAAGAATATAAGGAGAGAAAAGAAAGCCAAAACTTAAAATTATAGATAAATTTTCTCTGAATTTGATTTAAAAACAAAAACTCGACAGATAAAAAAGTTCAAATAAATCCAAAGTAACATAAACACAAAGAACATCACCCCTAAATATATCATACCAAACAGCTAAACTAAGGACAAAAAGAAAATCATGACGTTGGGTGTTGTACCACATATATACAATCCCAACCATTGGAAAATTGAGGCAGAAGGACTACAAGTTGGAGGCCAGCGTGGGAAATTTAGCAAGACCCTCTCTCAAAATAAAATTTAAAGAGAAAATGGCAGAGTGGTAAGCAACAATTTGGCCTGAGATTTGAACTCCAGACACTGGAAAATAACCTAGGGAATTGAATCCAGAAAGAACTGGGGACTCCAGAAGGTTTCAGGGAGAAGCATGGTAGTGCAATGGACCAGCAAGTGCGGTGGGCTGCCGGGAGAGGGTGGGATTCTGCTCCCATGTAAGTCTTTTGACAGGCGACAGTTGGTGAGTAGCTCTAGTCTAAACACCCGGCATATCTCTGGGGAGAGTGCCTGTATGGACACCGTTCCAGAGAAGAGTTCATTGTTTGAAGGTGGGACTCAGAACAGCCACGGGACAGCTTCACTTCAAGGCTCCCAGTGTTAAGTCTTCACACTGATACATAGCCACGGAAGAAGCTGCAGTCAAGGAGCGGGCTGGAAAGAGACCACTGAGGGGTTAGAGTTAAAGGACACAGGCCCTGCCCCCGTGCCTAGCGGCCAGGCTTAGGATTGGAAAGTTGCAGCGTTGGCACGCTTGCCCTAGTCCCGTTGCCTGCTGGTACCTGCATCCACTACAGATCTGGGGTCTGGCTGCCTTTTTTATCTACAGGCATGAGCAGGGACACATCTTGATTTGGACACTGCCCCAAAATTATAGATCTCAGAACAAAAACATTGAAAATCACAGAGAAATTTCTTTTTTGTTTCATTATTTTTACTTGTTTTGTTTTGTTGTCTGCTGATTTGCTTACTGTTACCAAGATTGCGTGATTATTGCTATTAATGGGTTTTCTCTGCAAGCCAATACTCAATTTTTTTTCTTTCTTCTTTCTTTCTTCTCCAGTTTATTGGGGTTTCGGAAACTTTCCTTTGTTCTTTTTCCTTGCTTATTATCTCTTTTCTTTTGTATTTTTCCTCTTCTCCCTTTGAATTTTTTGCACTTTAATTTTTTCTCTCTTATTTTTATTTCCATACAATTTCTTTTTTATCCCTCTTTTTCTTTTATCTTCTATTTCTTGTCAGTTTTTTCTCTTACCTTTACATAATTCTATAAACATCACTCCACTCCACAACAGGATCCTTTGCACCGCTTCTACCTCCTCCTTCTCATATAGTTTAAGGTTTTAAATTTTCCCTCTTGCATTTCCCATTCTCAACACCCTGTACTTTAAAAGTATAACCATAAAGCCTTAGTATTGCTTAAATAACACTATAAAACTACTCTTAAATTCTCTTCTGCTGTTAGTGTAGATATAGTTTTTGCATTTAGTACATATTAGCTATAAGTCAATACCTGGGCCATCTTAATGTTTATACCATAATTGTGGATTTTTTTCTCCAGGGTGAAGGGTGGTACATAACTTTCTTATGGTATGCTAATATCCACTTTGTCTTAGATGATACTACTGTAGCTGCTTTACTTGATATTACTAGGGTCACATAATTGTTGCTATTAATGGGTTTCTCTGTAAGCCAATATTCAGGTTACATTTGTGACATTCACAATATTAGAGGACATTCCCAGAGGATTCAGTGCTGGATCAATTACACTGCATCCTCCCTTCCCAAGCTAAGCAAGGTGGTTGGCTCTTGGGGCTGAAGCAAAGGACTATAATTAGTACATCACTGAAAAGCACATAACCAAAGAGCCCTCTATACTATCAACAAAATCTTAACACTGTAAGTCTTCACAAACTTCAGCACAAGCCAACAAACAAAACAATAGAAACATGAGAAAACAAGGCAAAAAAAAGTCTCCCAAATCTACCAACTCCCTGAAGCCAATCTAAGGGTATGAAGTGGGAGAAGAGCATATAAGCCACACACCTAATTTACTTGAAAGGATAACAGAGGAGATTAGAATATGAACAAAGTGGTACTCAGCAGGATCACAGAATGTATAGCTAAACAGATAATGGAATTAGTAACCAAAATGATCTAGGAGCTTTCAGAAGACACTAACAAAAAGGTAGAAGAGCTAAACAAAATGATACAAAACATGACCAGTTTAGCAAAGAATTAGAGTCCATGAAAAAGTTTCAATCAGAAATCCAGGAGATTAAAAATTGTATTGAGTGTATGGGCAGCAGAAGCGACAAATGTGGGGAAGGAATTTCAGAACCAGAAGACAAAGATGCCTTCAAAGACCAACTACTCAAAGACACCTTAAAAGTA